AAAAATAACAACACTTTGTCAGGACCATGAGGCGATCATTCCTACCAACTTTCAGTTCAATCGGTCCAGCAGAACTTGACTTTAAGTTTGAAATAGGTTTTCAAAATGGCGGCCGTGGCGGCCATATTGGATTTCTGATCGACCCGAAAAATAACAACACTTTGTCAGGACCATGAGGCGATCATTCCTACCAACTTTCAGTTCAATCGGTCCAGCAGAACTTGACTTTAAGTTTGAAATAGGTTTTCAAAATGGCGGCCGTGGCGGCCATATTGGATTTCTGATCGACCCGAAAAATAACAACACTTTGTCAGGACCATGAGGCGATCATTCCTACCAACTTTCAGTTCAATCGGCCCAGCAGAACTTGACTTTAAGTTTGAAATGTAAAATGTTAACGGACGACGGACGACGGACGACGACGGACGAAAACGGATAGCAATAGGTCACTTGAGCTAAAGCTCAGGTGACCTAAAAATTAAAAGCAGTTCTTGGCTGCCTCTCCAATTTTCTTCAAATTCATTGAAAATAATGAGAATTTTTATCATGAATTAGGGCTTGAGCTCTAAATTGGAGTTTGTGTACGGTAACAGTTTTGTGAAAATGGGTTTCGAATTCGGAACATGGGTCCTGAATTTCTGCCATACCCAGCCAAGAGGTTCTTGAAAACTATTTTGATAATTGTAGGTGACAAAAGTTAATGATATGCCCCAGTCCAGGAGAGGCATTGTGAATAAAGTGGCATAATTGTTAACTTAATGACGTACCAGCTAAATAATCTTTGCATGGCTAACTTAATGATGTACAATCTAAATCATATTTGCATGGCCCAAATTACGGAAACACTCTCCAAATTAGCGGAGCACCATTTAAATTTAAAAACCATATCCAAGTTGTCGGGACATGGACCAGTTTTCAGGAACAACAACCAATTTTCAGGGACAACAACCAATTTTCAGGAACATAACAATTCAATAAGATTGTGCCTTTGTTCCCGAAAACTGGTCGTTGGCCCCCGAAAATTAAGTCGTTGTCCCGCTCACTCGCACAGCGGTATTCCCTTTGATGTAGCCGCGCTCCGGCGAAGCCCGTACAGGTGAGGCAGTCTATAGTCCCTGCCTTGCTGGCCGTGTTGTCGGTATAGCTATGCAACGACGGTTGCTCTAATTCCGTAATCAAAACGATATAATAACACAGGTCGATAGTACACTTATATTTACTTCGAATGAAATAAATAAAGACCAAGGAAATAATGCTTATTTTGTACTACGGCCAGGGTTAGGATCGAAATGAACGACCATTTGAGAATAATGCATAACTTTTACCGTATTGCTGAACTGGTGCTTTGATACATCACTCCAGGGACACATGAAGCCAGTATATACGTCTCTGATCACTCATATAATAATCAAAGACACAATATGAACTCTCAATATTAACGATATTTAATGACGAATGATAAGTACGTCCCGATGTCGTATACAACTTATATTACGTAAACTATATCCCCCGGCTCCGTTCGGTCCGAGGTAAATGTTCATAAACGAACCACTGTATATATATATATATGTTAAGACAGTTTACGTTCCTATTTTGCTTCATATACCTTTCAATCGTTTTTTATGTTGTTAATAGTTTTGTGATTTATATAATCCTCTTAGTAAGGAGATTCCCGATCACCTGTCCTCTCAGCTTTTAATTTCTATTGTATTTAACATAAATGTATTTTATTCATATTTTGGTGTTTTTTTAATCATTACTGATATAATTTCAATTAAATGGAACTTTATCTTTCCTGTACTGTCGTAAGAATATCCCTTCTGATTTAATGTTTCATGTTATAATATTTAAGGTTGAACTTTCTATTTAGTTTAGGTTATCGGGTGATAAAGAAAAAATAATTTACCCGGGTTCCATTGTAGTTATCACCCGATAACCTAAATTGAATAGAAAGTTAATCCTTATATTTATAGCCTTTTTCTTTACATAAAACGCGTCCATTTATGTCATCAAAGTAAACGTATGTAAATGAACACACAATCCAGCCGTCCTGTCAGTCAACAACGTGACGTCATCGGAATGTATGAATTTCAACAATGTATATTTACATTTCAACAATGTATCTTTTGCATGAATACACTAATGAGTTACACATCTGGTATCCGAGGTACTCCTGTTAACTTCCTAAAACAGCAATGTAAGCTCCCGGGTTGTTGAAACTTCGAGTGATAATGACAATGATCTCCACAAAGGCTTTCATTAGAAAAAATACCATTTAAGTTACGTACACTTATGTGTTTAAAGTGAACGAAATTTTCGAAATATCTTGTTTCTTTATTCATTTAAAGCGAACTTAACCATTTCAGAAAGATAATGTGCATCCGTATGTCAGTTATCAAAACTGTATAAAGTAAAGAGAGAAAAAAAATAGAGCATTATTCTTAACCAGAGACGTTATATTACAATATATACGACTTTGGTGTATAGTCTAAACAGTTGCTCTCGTCTAACGAACCTGTGATTACTAAAATTTAGAACCTATGAAACTTCTTATATAAAAGGCTAAGCGTGATCCGGTTGTTAAATATATGAATTATCAGAATTAATATTGAATATTGTATTACCTGTCTTCAGACAGAGACATATAAAGCCGTAAGTAGTATATACGTTTCCGCTTCAGGTCAACCATGACAATCAGAATAATATATAAACTAAAGGTATTTTGTTTTGGTTTCCTTTATATCATAACCAGAGACCTTCTCTGTATTAACGTAATATGTTAGGTATCAGTACATTTTACTCATAGTTCCAGTAGTATTAGTAATCATTATCATATACATATATAGATAAAATATATTGCCGTGTGAATGATGTAATTGATATACAGTAGGTGTTAAGATAAGTTCTGTGCACTGATCTTACACGAAAATGGCACCGTTTCATTGGTTGATATACCTGTCAATCACGCGCGGTAGAGAGGTGGGCCCTCGCGATGATTGGTTGATGTTCTTGTCGATGCTCCGCTGTTGTTTGATTGACAAGAATATCACGGGCCGTAATTCTCGTCACACTCTGGTGCATGCTGTGTACACAACCGCCAGTCATGTCGTCGTTGAACAGCACTACTACGTGATCTGTTTCTGTGCCGGATTATATATATTGCAAAGTTACTGTACCGCTACGGTCCAAATATACGGAAATGTATCAGTAAAAATATTTACAAAATAACTTCAACGTTGGTGTCTTCTGTGTTTGAATGTCAATAAAACGTATAGCATATTTTCGGTATTACCGTTTAATGACAAATCGACGACACTGTGTCGTCCTTATGTTAGGTCGAAAATTCAAATAAACAACAAAATACCGACAGTTACACATTTGATATTATTCAATACAGTACTTATTGATGTGTAATGCCACGGACTTAGATATAATTAAACATCTTTGTTCAATAATGAAAAGCATCTCGATCCACTCCTTGAGCCGGCTTAGGTGTGAAATTTGCGACAGGTACAAAATACTAAACACACCTGTGTCCAGTGCTTGATTGATAGGTTTTGCGTCCGCTTCACTACCGAGTAGTTCGGTCAAT